GAACGCCTCATGACCGCAGCTCTACACCTGAACGCCTCATGACCGCAGCTCTACACCTGAACGCCTCATGACCGCAGCTCTACACCTGAACGCCTCATGACCGCAGCTCTACACCTGAACGCCTCATGACCGCAGCTCTACACCTGAACGCCTCATGACCGCAGCTCTACACCTGAACGCCTCATGACCGCAGCTCTACACCTGAACGCCTCATGACCGCAGCTCTACACCTGAACGCCTCATGACCGCAGCTCTACACCTGAACGCCTCATGACCGCAGCTCTACACCTGAACGCCTCATGACCGCAGCTCTACACCTGAACGCCTCATGACCGCAGCTCTACACCTGAACGCCTCATGACCGCAGCTCTACACCTGAACGCCTCATGACCGCAGCTCTACACCTGAACGCCTCATGACCGCAGCTCTACACCTGAACGCCTCATGACAGCAGCTCTACACCTGAACGCCTCATGACAGCAGCTCTACACCTGAACGCCTCATGACAGCAGCTCTACACCTGAACGCCTCATGACAGCAGCTCTACACCTGAACGCCTCATGACAGCAGCTCTACACCTGAACGCCTCATGACAGCAGCTCTACACCTGAACGCCTCATGACAGCAGCTCTACACCTGAACGCCTCATGACAGCAGCTCTACACCTGAACGCCTCATGACAGCAGCTCTACACCTGAACGCCTCATGACAGCAGCTCTACACCTGAACGCCTCATGACAGCAGCTCTACACCTGAACGCCTCATGACAGCAGCTCTACACCTGAACGCCTCATGACAGCAGCTCTACACCTGAACGCCTCATGACAGCAGCTCTACACCTGAACGCCTCATGACAGCAGCTCTACACCTGAACGCCTCATGACAGCAGCTCTACACCTGAACGCCTCATGACAGCAGCTCTACACCTGAACGCCTCATGACAGCAGCTCTACACCTGAACGCCTCATGACAGCAGCTCTACACCTGAACGCCTCATGACAGCAGCTCTACACCTGAACGCCTCATGACAGCAGCTCTACACCTGAACGCCTCATGACAGCAGCTCTACACCTGAACGCCTCATGACAGCAGCTCTACACCTGAACGCCTCATGACAGCAGCTCTACACCTGAACGCCTCATGACAGCAGCTCTACACCTGAACGCCTCATGACAGCAGCTCTACACCTGAACGCCTCATGACAGCAGCTCTACAACTGAACGCCTCATGACAGCAGCTCTACACCTGAACGCCTCATGACCGCAGCTCTACAACTGAACGCCTCATGACAGCAGCTCTACACCTGAACGCCTCATGACCGCAGCTCTACAACTGAACGCCTCATGACAGCAGCTCTACACCTGAACGCCTCATGACAGCAGCTCTACAACTGAACGCCTCATGACAGCAGCTCTACACCTGAACGCCTCATGACTGCAGCTCTACAACAGAACGCCTCATGACAGCAGCTCTACACCTGAACGCCTCATGACAGCAGCTCTACACCTGAACGCCTCATGACCGCAGCTCTACAACTGAACGCCTCATGACAGCAGCTCTACACCTGAACGCCTCATGACCGCAGCTCTACAACTGAACGCCTCATGACAGCAGCTCTACACCTGAACGCCTCATGACCGCAGCTCTACAACTGAACGCCTCATGACAGCAGCTCTACACCTGAACGCCTCATGACCGCAGCTCTACAACTGAACGCCTCATGACAGCAGCTCTACACCTGAACGCCTCATGACCGCAGCTCTACAACTGAACGCCTCATGACAGCAGCTCTACACCTGAACGCCTCATGACCGCAGCTCTACACCTGAACGCCTCATGACAGCAGCTCTACACCTGAACGCCTCATGACAGCAGCTCTACAACTGAACGCCTCATGACAGCAGCTCTACACCTGAACGCCTCATGACTGCAGCTCTACACCTGAACGCCTCATGACAGCAGCTCTACACCTGAACGCCTCATGACAGCAGCTCTACAACTGAACGCCTCATGACCGCAGCTCTACACCTGAACGCCTCATGACTGCAGCTCTACACCTGAACGCCTCATGACAGCAGCTCTACACCTGAACGCCTCATGACAGCAGCTCTACAACTGAACGCCTCATGACCGCAGCTCTACACCTGAACGCCTCATGACTGCAGCTCTACACCTGAACGCCTCATGACAGCAGCTCTACACCTGAACGCCTCATGACAGCAGCTCTACAACTGAACGCCTCATGACCGCAACTCTACACCTGAACGCCTCATGACTGCAGCTCTACACCTGAACGCCTCATGACAGCAGCTCTACACCTGAACGCCTCATGACAGCAGCTCTACACCTGAACACCTCATGACAGCAGCTCTACACCTGAGTTGTTCAGTCTGTGGATTTTATTAAAATAAAAACTTTCAGCCTTTAAAGTTCTGATGTCACACTGTGAGTACTTTTACTTTACTAATGTACTTTTACTTGGATACTTTAAGTTCATGTTACTGATGATATTTATGTATTTTTTGACTACAGCACTTTTTTTATCATCATCAACATCCAGTGTGAGTGTCAGCTGATGTGTTCACTGCAGACTGTAAAACGCATTTTTCTGGATGAAACTTTCTGACTACATGTGAATGTTTGATGATCAGACGTGACACAGAAAATAATAATGAATTCAACAATCATGTGACCGTCTGTCTGCTCTCTGATTGGCTGATCTCTCTCCCTGTCTCTGTGAAACTTCTCAATGATTGTGTTTCATTCATGGAAAAGAAGAAGAAGGAGAAAGAGGAAAAGAATCCTTTAGGAGCCATTCTGGAGCTGTTGGTCACGTCACATGATCTTCCTCAGTTGTCATAGAAACAATCTGCATGTTGTTTAACGCTTATGCAGAAATACAGTTAATATTTGATATGATCATAAAAAGTGTACTGTTTTCTTTACAATCAATAAAGTTCTAAGCTTTTCTTGTTTCAGATTTTCTGTTTCATCGTCATCGTCAGGGAAACTTTAAACGAAGGAAAGGTGATGACATCAGTGACGGCGTTGGAGGAGCCAGACTTTAGAGTCAAATCAAACTTTAACTCATCATATCTTTGTTGTTTCACCTTTGACTGATAAATATCTTTTTAGCTCAGCTTTTACTTTAAGGCGCCTCATCATTTATTGCCTCTGTTTTTAAGTCTCATTTTTTTCTAAATTTTTTGTCTTTATTTGTTCTTTTAAATGTTATTTATTTAAATATTTTATCATAGAGTAAAAGCAAACACTATCTATGACTGAGTGACCTTGTTACAGCTGAGAGAGCGCAGTATACTTCACTTTTTGACTCCCTCCCTCGACGCCGGGCCGATCTCCAGCAGGAGGCCTTCCTGGCTACAACAGGGCGAGGAAGGCGGAGAGACGCAGAGCGGAGCTGCTTCAGTGAGACTGATGCAAAAACAAACAAGGACTCACTAACTACACTGACTCATCTTCCTCAGCTCATGTGCAATAAAAACTGGAAATATGCAAAAACCCATAATGTGCAACACCTTCTGAGCGTCCTGCATGTGCAGTTTATATTCATGTGTTTATTATACCTCCTGATTATTAGTGTAGTGTCGAGTTATTCACCTGTTACTGTCTCTGTGCTGCTCTGTGAAACACTTCAGGCTGTACGACTGTATGACGGCTGCTCAGTGACAGACTCAATCCCCCACGATGCACCACAGGGCGTCACAGGAAGTCATTCCTGCCTGTGGCCGTTCTCACAGTGTCAGCCGCTCTGAGTCAATAACACCATCCGTCACCTGCACTGAATTCACCTTCAGCATTTATAATTCATAATTACTGACTGGGTGTAATAATTCAGCTGTGAAATATTCCTCAGTGTTCGACTGAATCTTCTATCGACTTAAATATGTTGTAGTTAAATTCTTTTAACACTTACAGCCCCCGCAGTGACGAGTTATATTTTAATATTTTTAATATCATACATACTAGTGTTAAACACTTCAGCACAATGCACATTGTACTTTATTGCTTTATATTTACATACTTATATTTCATACTCTTATTCTTACTTTATCATTTCCCCTCCAGGATCAATTAAGTATTTCTGATTCTGTTTCCGATATTAAGTTTGATTTAATTTAATTCACATCTCGGCTACACTGAATAACTGATCATTAATAACAATAATAATCAAACACATTTATGTTTTTTGTGAATCTTAAATAAAAACTGAATTCACAAATATTTGATCAAAAGTTAGAAATGTGAAAAAAATGTTCACAAATGCTTTAAAATTATTTGTAAATTAATTAAATGTATATGAAGTGGAATTTGTTTGTGCGTCTGTTTATATTTGAAAACTAGTTTTTAGAGTTCACAAATATTTTATTATATTTGTAGAAGCTGATTTAAATTTACAGATTTTTTTTCATTAACACTCAGGTTATTGATCGATCAGTTCACACAGATCTGTTTCCACAAACATCAGACTGTCCCTTTAACACACACACACACACACACACACACACACACACACACACACACACACACACACACACACACACAGAGAGGCACGTGGCGCTGGGTGGGGACAGCCCATAATAACAAAACAAACGCTGACAAACAGAAACAAACATTTTTCTTCATGATCATAAATTAACGTCAGTGACGTCAGAATCGTAGTTTTGTCGCGGGCTGCAGTCAGATGATGATGTGAAGCTGCTTCCTGCCGCCCTGCAGCGCGTCACACCGCAGAACAACAAACACATCGAACTCATCGTTTTGATTATTATGGTTATTGATGACTGATATGTTAATGAGCTGTGAGCCGAATCAAAGAGCAGCTCGAGACGGTTTAAACACGCTCCTCATCTGCGTCCTGCGAGCGGAGTTCTGTCGCTGCCGCGCGAGGAAACCTTTAAATGACCAACTTTTAAACGGACCCTGGTGTGCGGGTCCCTCCATGTGTGCGTGAAGGTGTCGGCGGCTCGTGGCTCTCCTACCTGCGGGGTCTCCCTGCGGCTCCTGCGGGGATCGAACCTGCAGCTGGTCGGTCACATGATCCAGAGAGCGGTCCGGAGTCCAGAGTCCAGGACCCGCCGCTCCGTCCTCCGGTCAGCTGATTGTCTCCCGCCGCGTCTCACATCAGGTGTGATCGATCGATTGATTGATGACGCTGATTGTCGCTTCGTGCAGCCGCTCCGGGATCAGCTGATCAGCGCGGCTGCAGACTCTGATCGATCATCGCGGATCGATGATCTGATCAGATGAGGGGTCCCCGCTCTTCATCCTCCTCCTCCTCCTCCTCCTCAGACTGTGCTCACACTGAATGAAGCTCCGCTCCATCAGCACCTACAGGCGCGCTCACAGCGCCGCGGGCACGCGTACGTACACGCACGCACGCACACAGACTCGCATCATGAGACTGTTGATCTGATCGAAGATCTATAAATGTCTGATCGATCGCTGCTGATCATTTGTCGGTTCTCTGATGTTTGATTGTTTGTTTATTGATTGATTTGATCATATTGTAATAAATTTGTGTTTTAATCAGTCAATAGATTTGATCAGATTCCTTCAGTCAGAAAAACATTAAATATATTTAATGAGTTTAAAGAAAAAAGAATTTTGTCATTTGGGACAAATTATGATAAAAACAGTGTTTAATTTGTTGTTTAATCTAATTACCGACCGCACTGCTGTGTGGGTCCGAAACCTGGAGGACCATCATCATCATCATCATCATCATCATCATCATCATCATCATCATCAATAAACTGCAGACTTTCATCAACCAATGCCTGAGGGTACCACTGCTCTAACCATTTCCTGTTTCCATGAAATTAAGATTAGATCAGACCAGACCAGGTTCCTCTAACCCTTAAGGTAAGGTAAGGTAAGGTAAGGTAAGGTAAGGTAAGGTAAGGTAAGGTAAGGTAAGATAAGATAAGATAAGATAAGATAAGATAAGATAAGATAAGATAAGATAAGATAAGATAGCTTGTTTTTGAGGTTTCAAGTCATCTGGCACTTCCTCATCTAACAGAACTCTGATATCATCATACACCAGTTACAGTGCTGAGGTCGACCGATCAGATGTTCCTGGAAGTTTACGGGGGCGGCGCCTGAACAGCGGAGCAGCTCACCTACTCAAATAAAAACTGCTCCGACTACAGAAACCTTTGGCTGAATCCAGACTTGGGGGTGGGTGCGTTTTCAGGAAGTCTCGGAGGGCTGATGGCTGTCCAAAGCTACAAGTCATCCAGTCCATTAGAGGCCTCAAGCAGACTTCCTGCAGACTTCCAGAGATTCTGCTCGCGGTGCAGACTTCACTGATTTAATAACCCACAATTCATTGCAATACGGACGTGAAGCTGTTTTTTCCAATTGCTGAAAAAAAGAATTGACTGTGTAAAATAGGCTGAAAAACTACAAAAGGTCTTCTAATGTCAATAATACGTAATTTATTTCATTATAGTCGGTTATAGTCCTGTCCTTGTTTACAAACATTTGTGTTTTTGAACGCCTGTAGCAGATTTTATAAAGATGTGTTAATACATTTTTGTTAAGTCATAAAAAAGGTTTCACATGGGATTTATATCTGTTATCTGCAGAGACAGATGAGTTCGGCACGATTCAGCTGCTCACAGTCTCTGTTCTCAGTCCGCAGGTCTGCGAGGGCTCAGTCTGCAGGTCCAGAGGGACAACATTTGGATTCAGCCTCAAAGTTGCTGCTGAAAACTTGTCTCTTCTCATTGGCGTTGACTGATCTGAGCTTGACTTCTGAACTGACTTTATTTTCTGTCGTGTCTCATCCTCTGCTCTGCTGCTTTTTGTCTCTATTATGTTTGTTTTCTGTTGTTCTTGTTTACTTCTGGATTTATGTGTTTTGATATTATTTGTGTTTTTCACAACTGTTTTTTTTTAAGATATTTTTTGAGGCTTTTTAGCCTTTAATGGACAGGACAGACAAGCGTGAAGGGGGGAGAGAGGGAGTGACGTGCAGCAAAGGGACACAGACTGGAGTCGAACCCGGGCTGCTGCAGCAACAGCCTTGTACATGGGGCGCCTGCTCTACCACTAAGCCACCGACGCCCCAACTGTGGTTGTTTTTAAATGTGCTCTACAAATAAAGTTTGACTTCAGTATAAACAGTATATAATATTTATTATACAAACAATGAAAACGATTTCTCAGAGTTGTTTGTTCTCAGATGATCCAGACTGAGCGGCGGACTCCGCCACCAACACACAGCTGAGGTAGTGTCTACATGTAAACATCTGAACAGAAACAGGAAACAGAGTCTGATGTCATGACATCTGATCACTGACAGGAAGTGGACTCCACGTGGCCGGTAAAAAAAAATGCTCTAAAAATCTTTATTGTTCCAGAGAATATTCACAAACGACAGGTTTGACTTCCTGCTCAGACAAACTGACCAATGGGTGAGCTCCGTCATTGCGGCCAACAAGCTCTCGATCAACAGATGAAGAAACAGAAACCACAGAAGAAGAAATAATAACACTTTTCTTGCAGACATTTATAAAAAAAAAAAAAAAGGGATAAACTAAATATTTTTTGATGCTACATAAAGAAAATAATTTACAACAGAGCTGGTTTTAACCCCGCCCCTCTGCAGAGACTCCACCCACTGACACCACATGACCTTATCATGACATCACAGGGGGTGGGATCTGAGACAGACAGACAGCTACAGCTACTTTTAATAAATTCAAACTTTATTGGGTGAAAAGCTGTTGGCTCCGCCCCTCACCTTCTCCATGACGACTGAAAACGTCAAGTTCCGATTGGTTGAAAATGTACAAATATCCTACAAGTCTTTTATTTTGAAGCAGTCAGAGCCCCACCTCTTCCACAATGTCACAGGAACCAGCTGCAGGGCGGGGCTTCAGACAACGTTAACCAATCACAGTCCCCAGCAGAACGGCGGCTCCTCCTATTGGTCAGTTTTGAACTTCTTTGGCCCGACAGGTTTACTGAGGGCAGAAATTTAAAGTGTGTTAATGCGACTCAAAGATCAGCTGTGTCACATAAATACTTCATTATTAATACAATATATCACTGAACATATGCATCCTTTTATTGTTAGTAAACAGTGTGATGTTTGTTGGTGGGCGGGGCTTAGCTGGAGGCAAAACGGTTCTCCACAGACATTAGCTAGCGCTAGCTAACAAGTTGTGTTGTCTTGTTTTAGACGATGGAGGAAGATGATGTGAGTGGTGCGTTCAGAAACACTCATTGTGAGTGTGGGAGCGCACTCTGACACAAACTGGAGCGTTGATAAATTGGGAGCGCTGTCTGAATGTAGCGTTGGGTTATCCAGAGCAGCGCACTCTCAGAGTGGCAGAGCGCACTCTGGACACTCTGTCTGTGGAGACCACCATCATGACATCAGCTCTTAAAGGGTCTGTTACTCCACAGTATCTATACTGTGTTTCTCCTTCACGTGAGAAAATGTGAGCAGCTTACACGTCAGGCGAGGCTCCCGGTCTCTTTACAGCTGGTTTGTTGTCTTTACTGCTGTCTACAGGAGAGAGAATATGATCATCAATAATCAATATCAGTAATGATCATACAGCTGATCAATCCGTGCCAGCACATAATCCTCTGGTTATTATTCTCACCTTGGAGCCATCGGACCTGCGTGGCCGGCCCGTAACCCTTCTGATTGCGAGCAGCGATGCGGAAGATGATGGCGGGCTTGGTGGTGTAGTCGATGTGGGCGTTGGCGAGGCTGGAGGACTGGACCAGGCAGGACGGGGTGGGGCCGCAGTACACCCTCATGAAGGCCAGCTGGGCCGCACCTGAGCCGGAGGAGGTGGCCTGGCTGGACTGGATGGCCAGGTACACTGAGTACTCCGTGATCCTCCCCGATGTGACTGCAGGAGGCTCCCAGGTCAGCTGGGCCCCGTCCAGGTTCTGAGGATCCACAAGAACAGAGATAAACAGACTGGATCCACATCTGCTGACAGATCAGTGTGGTGGAACCGGATCCAGGTTCCTCTAACCCTTTCATCTCTACATGACATTAAGATGAGATAAGATAAGATGACATTAAGATAAGATAAGATGACATTAAGATAAGATAAGATAAGATGAGATAAGATAAGATAAGAATTAAACAGATTCTGCATGTGAGTAATTGATGAGCAGATACATGTAATAACAGAGTTGTGTGGCTCCCCCTGCTGGTCTCTAAGCTCTATCACAACACATTACAGTGATGGTGTTTCCATGGTAACCCGGCCTGCTGCTACAGAGTAGGCTGAATGAAAACTTGAAGAGGAGAAACGCTGAACACTGTGACTGGTTTGGATTTGACCTGAGGCAGGATGTGACTCTAATCAAACCTGATCTCCACAAAGATTTGCCAGAAAACTAGATTGTGATGTCACGTTTCACCAGCAGGGCGCAGCGTCTCACAAGTCTGGCTACAAGTCTTCTAGCATATCTTGGTGAATATCAAGTTTGACCGCAGCATCATATCTCACCTTTGGTAAAATCAAACAGGCCGCAGTAACACTGTTCGGTGTTTCATCTCCTCTTTAAACTTACTGGTTCTACTGGGACTAAACCAGTTTGTTTACAACATCACAGACAGGAAGCTTGTCTCACCTTGCTGATCTTGATGGCGCACGGCGCTCCAGGGAAACCAGGAAGACACGTTTTGAAGGCCGACACCTCGGAAAATGCTCCGCGGCCGCAGATATTGATCCCTGCGACACGGAACTTATACGCTGTCCCCGGCTGCAGCTCCACCTTCCTCATCTGACTGTAGTCTGGGACCACACCTGAGTCATCCTGCAGGTACACACATCATCAATGACCCGATCAATAACCTGGTCTCAGTTATATAACCCTACCCCCTAACTCTGAACTATGAGCCAAGTTTCCATGGTAACAGTCAGTGACACCTGACAGGAGAGGAGCTCAGGTGTTTCATGTGTTCTTACGTCGGCCATGTTGTCATCGTAGGGGACGTAGTAATGTGTGACCACCATGTTGGTAACCTTGACGATGCCGACGTCATACCAGCGACTTTCTTTCGCCGATGATGTCACCTTCTGCTTCTACACACACACACACCAAGTTAACATGTTAATGAGCATGTTTGCGTGTTGTCAACATGTTGTTAGCATGTTGCCTGTATGTTAATCCTCTGCCAGCTCGTTTCTCACCCCTGCGGCTGCTGCGACACCATTGGTCACCTCGGAGGCTGTAGGTTCAATCTTGATAACGCCCCCTGAAGTCAGAGGCGGGGCGGGTCCAAACGTACTGGCCAATCGAGCCACGGCGCTGGTCACTGCTGATGATGTCAGCTGGGTACTCTCTGCTGATGGGTCATTCAGGCTGTCTGCTGGAGCAAGGCCCTCTGGGAAACAACAGAAAACTTAATTGAACAGAGCAGGAGGACAAAAGTCTGGAGAAGAATGACACCTGTCAGACAGGTGAGTCTGTGACCAAACCACAGAAGAAGAAGTGTTCAGGTAGAATTTACTGTTTTTATCCTTGTTTTAAACAACACGTTTCACCAGTCAGTCATCAAAGAGTTAAACTGGGACTGAACAGGAGGTAATTTAAATATTAAAAAAGGGGCAAAATTAAATCAAATGTTTTCACGTTACATGAGAAGTCGGAAGTAAAAAGATGAATTATGAATACGTGTGTGTGTGTGTGTGTGTACAGTGTATACATTTCAGTCTGTTATTATTCAGAGAATTAGGTCAGTTTTTATGAAACAATTAAAGATTAAAGCCGAAAGTTAGAGTGAACTAAATGATCAATCAGTCAGACTGAGGCCGTGTTCACACCTGCCCTGTTTGATTCAGTTCAATCGAACTCAGGTTCATTTGTGCAGGTGTGAACACAGCAAAACAACCAGACCAAGACCTTCTTGAAGAGGTGGTCTCAGTCCGGTTCCAAAGGAACTCTGGTGCGGTTGGTTTGTGGTGAGAAGGTGTTGCGACCTGGATGTGAAGCAACTGCAGTCACATGACACATTGTTTGGGTTAAACATGAGCATGTTACAGTCCTGGAGGATTATTAATGTGCACCTCCTCCTGTACTGCCTTAATATGCACATTCAGCACATCCAATGCATCAAAACATTGTTTTCTAGTTGGAGCTGCGCCTCGTTTTCAAACTGTATGCTTTGACTAAAATGAACAATGACAGCAATATAGTCCACGATGAGCAGCGCTAAAATCAACCTGCGTAGTTGTCCCTCCATTGTGACATTAGAAAGTGTCACATTTATCTTGCAAGTGTACTCTTCTTCAACGTTTGCTTTACTTCCTGGATTTTTCCCACATGGAAATTCTGCCGTGCTGCCGTGAGAACACGAACCAACTCTAGGCAATTATACAACTTTGGAACAACATGAGTCCCTGATTCAGACCAGAGGAGACCACTCTAGGGCTGACAGCAGCCTGAGATGTTGTTCCAGCTTCAGTTCACTGAGACATCTTCAGTCCCAAAACAAGGTTTAACCACTAAAGCTCGGTACACACTGTGTGATGTTGGGCTGTCCCAGATGAAAGATGACCAAACCAGCCACGCTGACACAGAGAGAACATGCAAACTGCACAGAAGGGCTCCCACACCCCGGGGTTCGTACTAGGAACCCTCTTACTGTCAGGCAACAATGCTAACCCCTGAATCACCTACACTAAACACTGATTTCACAGTAGGATGCTGAAGCGTGACATCACTGAGACGTTCATTCACTGATTCAGGTCCTGAGTGTCTGACTGTGGGAAACAGTCTGAGACGTTTGTGTTTGCTGCTCTACCTGTAGGCACGCTGCTCTGCTCCGCTGGCTCTGACTCTGGATGGTTGTGGATGTCTTGCTGCTGCTGGACCAGAGCTGCCAGCTCCTGCTGGGTCAGAACGATGGGGATGGACTGATCCACCGTCCCCCCTCCTTCACACACACACACACACACACACGGATGAGGATGAATATGCAAAGTGTCTCCTCCCTCAACATGATGGATCAGCTCCTGAACATTAAAACTTCTCTGTGTGACCTCTGTCATCTCATCTCACCCATCTGTGCTGCTGCCTGCAGGACCGCCCGTATGGTCGCCTGCTGAACTGCCTCCTCTGTTGCCGTGGTAACAGCCAGCTGATCAGAGGTCAGTCCTGTCACCATCAGGGTCGTAGCCCCGGAGACCTCCTCACCTCCATCCCCTTCTGATGACATCAGCTCCTGAGGGAGACCGTCCGTCTGAAAGAAAGACAAGCTGATGTGTTACTCATGTGTCATTGTGTGTGTGTGTGTGTGTGTGTATTAGTGAGTGTGTCAGGTCAGGTGTATGAGCACAGGTGTCAGGTATCAGTCTACAGAGCTCGCTGCGTGTGCACCTGTGCTGCTGCCGCGCTGCCCTCCATGTGAACCTGTAACACTGGGACTGCCATCTGCATAGGCTCCTCCCCCTCCTCTGCTGCTGCTGTCCCCATGGCAACAGCATCAGAGGACTCTGCCCTGACCAATGAGGAGATCTCCTGCACACAAACAGAAAGAGGGACTCATGGGACATCAGAGGGGACAATGATTTGTGTGAGTGTGTAAGTGTGTAGGTGTGTGAGTGTGTGTCACTCACAGGTATAGATGGGCCGGGGGTGGGTGTGGCCTGTGTAACCGTGGTAACAGCTCTGCTCTGACTGGCTGTGGTGGAGGAGGCGGTGTCAGACATGGAGGAGGCGGGGTCAGATGAGGAGGAGGCGGAGTCTCCCTGCAGACCGTCTCCACCCTGCTGAGCTGCAGACAGAGGACAGGAAGTGACATCATTTCCTGATATTAAGGTGACTATATTAATGTTAATTCTCTTCACGCCTGTTTTACTGACCACATTAACATGATAATTAAACCGTGTCTTGTTGGTCGTGTCGGCAGGTTACCTGTCGCTGTGGTGGCGGTGTTGGTGGTTCCTGTTTCATGGGTCTCACACGGAGGATTTGAACACACCTGCAGGTACAAACACCTGAGTTCAGTCTCTGGCCGACACACCTGTCTGTCCGAGGCTACAGAGGGCTGAGTTTTACAGTTAGATACCAGAGCATCATATGACATCAGAAGACCTAAAATATAAGTGGTACCAACCACGCTGGCCCCTTTAGAAGGGGGGAGCTGCCCTATGACTTAAGTACCGTGATCATTTTGTATCATGGGGCCTCTGGTGATTCCCACCACTAACAGTCATCATTTCAATGTAGTGAGACCTTTTTTTTTTTTTTCTTTTTTTTTAATAACGGACGTCACTGTATGAAACGACCTATAGTAACCTCTTGGATAATCACAGCCTCGTGACACTTCACAGCTACAAACTAGAGACCTGCAGCGCTCAGAGGACGATGACTTTCATAGGTATACTGACAATAAGGGGGTTTCTCAGCAGTTTCCAGAACAGAAGTGCTCGCCATCCAATCACTGAAAATGCTTGGTGTCTTACTGTGGTAACTACGGTATCAAAACTGTTTCAACAACTTGTGAAACGTAAATGAGGATGGGAATGGCCGTCATGTACTCTGATCATAATGTTCTCAGCCCCTATGCACTCTAAACTTTCAAAATCTGAAGAGGTGCTGAAACAGAACATAATATTTATTACATATTTATGATGAGAGCAGCTTCACATGGCGCCGAGCTGCATCTCAAATTAATCTTCAGGTTCCCAGCTTTGTATGTGGCATCTACTGTCGCCCTGCTGTCTCCCCCAAAGAATCCCCCATCCCCATGTGGTCTCAGAAGATTAACCAATCAGGATGCAGCTGTCTGCAGGCAGGTGTGCTCTCACCTGACGAAGTCCTCCCGCTCCAGCTGTGGTGGCGGTGTTGGTGGTTCCTGTGTCGTGGGTCTCACAGGGCGGGTTGGAGCACACTCTGTTGTTGCCACCCATGGTTGCCGAGGCGACGGTGGCAGTGTTGGTGGTTCCCGTGTCGTGGGTCTCACAGGGCGGGTTGGAACACACTCTGTCGTTGCCACCCATGGTTGCCGTGGCGACTGTGGCGGTGTTGGTGGTTCCCGTGTCGTGGGTCTCACAGGGCGGGTTGGAACACACTCTGTCGTTGCCACCCATGGTTGCCGTGGCGACTGTGGCAGTGTTGGTGGTTCCCGTGTCGTGGGTCTCACAGGGCGGGTTGGAACACACTCTGTCGTTGCCACCCATGGTTGCCGTGGCGACTGTGGCGGTGTTGGTGGTTCCCGTGTCGTGGGTCTCACAGGGCGGGTTGGAACACACTCTGTCGTTGCCACCCATGGTTGCCGTGGCGACTGTGGCGGTGTTGGTGGTTCCCGTGTCGTGGGTCTCACAGGGCGGGTTGGAACACACTCTGTCGTTGCCACCCATGGTTGCCGTGGCGACTGTGGCGGTGTTGGTGGTTCCCGTGTCGTGGGTCTCACAGGGCGGGTTGGAACACACTCTGTCATTGCCACCCATGGTTGCCGTGGCGACTGTGGCGGTGTTGGTGGTTCCCGTGTCGTGGGTCTCACAGGGCGGGTTGGAGCACACTCTGTCACTGCCGCCCGTGGTTGCCGCTGCAGTAGCGGTCGTAGTAGTACTTGTCGTACTTCCAGGTTCTTCTGAGGTAGGTGAAGCCATGAAGGTGACGGGCAGATCTTGGACCAGCGGCTGAGCCTCGGCACCACTCGGAGTCGTGATCAGAGTCACCTGTACACACAGATCTGCAGTGTTAGTACACACACACACACACACACACACACAGCTGTACTACAGTGCAGAGAAAAAAAATGCAGTATTACTACAGTACCTGTCCGTCAGTCTTTTTACCTGTTTATGTCCCGCTGCTGCAGTTGCTGTAGTAACCTGGCTGGCCAGCGTGGCAATGGTTGCCAGGGTTGTGATGGGTGTTGCCAGGGAGGCATTAGCAGCTGAAACAGCTCCTCCTGCCACTGTGGTGGAGATACTTCCTGTTACTGTCCCCTGACTGGACATACCTGAGACACAAACACACCTGTCAGAGGGCTGGGATTGGTTCACACACACACACACACACACACACACACACACACACACACAGGTGGGTGGGGCTATCATACAAGTCGCCAACTGCTACTCTCTGCAACATTCACACACACTCACACAGTGATGACATCAGGAGCAATTTAGCTAAGTATCTTGCCCAAGAATACTTGGACCCGCTCTGGAGATGGCTGTGGATCAGGAGAGGAGGCCCAGGGGGAGGAGCCAATGTCACCTAAAACAAGCCTGATCAACCACAGCTGGGTCACCTGGGCGAGACCCTCAACACCTGAAGGCCCATCACTGATGATGTGTTGGATTCTATCAACAGGATGGCTCCGCATGTTACAGCTGAGGAACGCCTCCATGGCCAAACCATGTTTACCTGTGGTTCCCTTGACAACCAGTGTGGTGACGGTGGGTTTGGCACCGCCAACTCCCGGTGACACCAGTCTGACTCCGCCCATTGGGACAGTCCTGAGGATCGAACCAGGCGTCCCCGGAGCTCCTTTTAGCACCACCTGAACACACACAGACACACAAAGGTTTGTGACAGCTGATGTGACAGTCTGTTACTAAGTTCCACAAGGTTCTGTGCTCGGACCGATTGTATTCACTTTTTCATGCTTCCCTTAGGCTACGTTATGAGGAATCATTCTGTACATTTCTGTTACGCAGATGATACACAATTACATCTATCAATCGAGCCAGAAGAAAGCTAATTAAACTACAGGCATGTCTTAAGGACATCAAAACCTAGATGAGCTACAGATATAGTTTCTCTTAATGCCCTGATCCCCAGCACCACCGTAAAGAACCTCGGAGTAATCTTTGATCAAGATATGTCCTTTAACTTCCATATAAAATAATAAAACTGCTTTCTTTCACCTGTGTAATATTGACAACTTTAGGCCTATCTAAAAACTGGTCCACGTATTTGTCACCTTGAGGCTGGATTATTATCTCTTATTATCAGGTTGCCCCAACATGTCTCTCTAAACACTCTCCAGCTGATCCAGAACGCAGCGGCACGTGTCTCGACAGGAACTAAAAGCAGACCTCCCATCTGTCTGCTGAGCGTGGCCACTTCCTATGTCTGTCCTTTCAAATTAAGGTTTGGATATATTTTGACAAGGTGTAGCTCCCAATATCTTATGTGATTCACTAACCTTGGCGACTAATGACCTTTCTGGTCGACTAACGTTTGGTTGACTGTTAAAGGGCAGCCCTACTGAAATACAATCTGATAAGATTTTAGATTCTGTGTGTGTGTGTGTGTGTGTGTGTGTGTGTTACCTGTGTGAGCCCCTGCTGGCCGCCTGCAGAGATCTTGGGGACAGTGGTGATGATCTTCCCAGCAGTACCTGGTGTCACCATTTTGGTGGTCAGGATTGTGATTGGACTGTTGGCACCTGTAGGGGGAGGGGCTTCACTCAGTCAGTCACCACATTACACATAAAGATCAGCTCAGGTGTTTAGGTGTGTGTCTGTGTGTATGTGTGTGTGTGTGTCTGCCCTGTACCTGCCCCACCCTGCAGTGCTGACACTGGGATGGTCTTGATGTAGGTAGTCCCAGGTTTGGAGGTTGCCGGGGCGACGCCAGCCTGGGCGGTGCTGAGAATGGTGGTTTGTTTACCGTCTGCTGAGGTCACCAGCTTCAGGATGGTGCCTGCTGGGAGGCCGGCCTTCGCCTGACGCAGAGGGAGGGGTTAATATCAGGTGTAAACTTACGGGGCATTTCAGACAACTTAACGACTGAACACTTCACAGAGAGATGTTTCTGAGAACATCTGGTGATGCAGTAACAGAATCTAGATTCATATCTGATCAGTACCGTCTGGTTCAACAGTTTGACTGCAGCACACGAACAGTGACTGAAATAACTGACAGCTGTCTTAGAGTCTCTGCACTGATTTCACTCGTGTCATCACCAAAGTTTCTCTTTAATGGCAACAGCCAATCAAATCCAGCCAGCAACTATTAGTATAAACAGATAAACACAGAGGAGGCATCGATACCCAGCGTCCTGCCTCTCAGCTTCTTCTTCTGCTGCTTTCGTCAGGCCGCAGTGGGCGTGGTCTCATCTAAAGTGGGTCAGAAAAACGACAGACACAACATGCACTGCTCCTCGGCGGCGCCCTGTCCGGCTGCAGCTGCTGCGGCTGCTGCGGCTCCCGGTAACAGAGCCACTTATCAGCGACATGCAATCCACACACCCGGAGGGCGTTTTTATTGTTGCTGGGGACTTTAACCTGGCCAACATGAAGACTGTGCTTCCGAATTTTTACCAGCATGTCTATTTTGCTACTAGAGGGGAGAATACACTGGACTTGGTTTACACAAACATCAAGAAGGCATTCAGAGCAGCCCCCCGCCCCCACCTTGGCTCCTCAGACCACCTCTCTGTTATGCTAATTCCTGCTTACCAGCCCTTGCTCACCAGAGAAAAGCCTGCTGTGAAGAAGGTGAGAGTGTGGCCTGAGGGAGCCATGTCTGCACTGCAAGACTGTTTTGAGCGCACCGAATGGAGCATGTTCAGAGAGGCTGCAACAGACAATCAACACACCAATGTGGGAGAGTACGCTGCATCTGTGTCGGGCTACATACAGTGGTGCATGGAGGGGGTTACAGTCACAAAGACCATCATCACATGGGCCAACCAGAAACCTTGGATGACTAAGGAGGTGCGTGAAAGACTGAGGGAGCGCAATGCTGCGTTCAAATCTGGTGATGCGACGGCACTCAGATCAGCGAGGGCAAATCTGAACCGTGCCATCAGAGTAGCAAAGCGCGCCCACAGTCAGAAGGTCCAAGGCTTCTTCCAGGACCCCAGCAACACCAGACAACTGTGGCAGGGCATCCAGACTGTCACTGACTACAAAGCCACACCCACACCCTGTCAGGATAACATCGGCTTCCTCAATGAGCTAAATAACTTCTTCGGAAGGTTTGAAGCTCTGAACAACAACCCTGCGAGGAAAGCTACCCCCCACCTCGACGAACAGGCACTCAGGCTCGAAACCACTGCAGTGCGGAGAGCCCTGAGGAAGGTCAACGCACGGAAAGCTGCAGGCCCTGACAACATTCCAGGACGGCTGATCAAGGAATGTGCAGACCAGCTGGCCCACGTGCTCACAGACATCTTCAACACCTCACTGAACCAGGCTGTCGTCCCCCCGGGTTTCAAGTCAGCCACAATAATTCCAGTGCCCAAGAAACCAGCCATCACATGCCTAAATGACTTTCGCCCCGTTGCACTCACATCCACCATCATGAAGTGCTTCGAGAGGGTGGTTAAGGACCACATCATCTCCATACTCCCCCCATCATTCGACCCGTTCCAGTTCGCATACCAGCCAAACCGCTCCACTGAGGATGCCATCTCCACTGCTCTCCACCTGAGCCTGGAGCACCTGGAGGAGAAGAACACCCACGTACGGATGCTGTTCCTGGACTTCAGCTCAGCATTCAATACGATCATCCCCCAGGACCTGGTATGCAAATTGGAGCCCCTGGGTCTCAAAACCTCCCTGTGCAACTGGCTGCTGGACTTCCTCACCGACAGAACCCAGTCTGTCCGAGTGGGTAACAACACATCCAGTGTCATCTCCCTGAACACCGGCTCCCCCCAGGGATGTGTTCTGAGCCCCCTGCTGTTCACCCTGATGACCCACGACTGTCGCCCCAGGTACAGCAGCAACCACATCCTGAAGTACGCGGACGACACAACAGTTGTGGGCCTCATTCAGGACAACAACGAACTGGCTTACAGGGAGGAAGTGCAACATCTTGTGGACTGGTGTAAGGTGAACAACCTGGCCCTGAATGTCGACAAAACTAAGGAGATCATCGTGGACTTCAGGAGATCCAAACCCAGCCACACACCCCTCCGCATCAACGACACAGCCGTGGAAGTCGTGAGCACAACCAAGTACCTGGGGGTGCATATCACCGACAACCTCGGCTGGTCACTCCACACCTCCTCCCTGGCGAAGAAGGCACAGCAGCGCCTGCACTTCCTGCGGCGGATGAGAAGGGCCTCCCTCCCCCCTCCCATCCTAACCACCTTCTACAGAGGGACCATCGAGAGCCTGCTGACCAGCTGCATCTCCGTCTGGTCTGGGAGCTGCAGGGCCTCAGACTGGAAGTGTCTGCAGAGAGTGGTGAGGACAGCGGAGAAGATCATCGGGACCCCGCTCCCCACCATCCAGGACATAGCAGATAGCCGCTGCCTATCCAGAGCCCACCGGATCCTCTCTGACCCCACCCACCCCCAGCATGGACTGTTCTCCCGCCTGGCGTCTGGCAGAAGGTTCCGCAGCATCCGCTGCAGAACAGCCAGACTCAGAAACAGTTACTTCCCCCTGGCCATCAGACTGCTAAATGCCAAATAACCCCATAATCCGGAAGCCAAGCGACAACATTTCGTTGCCAAAATCTCACTGCTGTGTTTTTTTTTTGTGCAATGACAATAAAGGAAGTCTAAGTCTCTAAGTCTAAGTCTAAGTCCTCAGTAGATCTCAGTAACCAATACCTGGAGGATCTGGGTGACTGGGCTGCCCACAGTCTGACCAGTAGCTGCTCCACTCTGAACTGGTTTGGTCTGAACCATGGACATCATCTTCCCCAGGTTACCAAGGTTACCGATCTGAAAGAGAGGGGGAAGTGATATCATCAGGTCAGTCTTCCTGATATCCAAAACGTATCGATCAAACATCTGTATGACTTATGGTTCAGAGTTTTAATGACATATTAAAACTTAATTACAGCAGGTGACATCACTCACCAGAGCCCCGCCCCCTCCCACACTGAGAGGACTGTTAACGAGTGTGATGGTCTTTGTGACTCCGCCCACCACTGTGGTGACCACCTGAGCCTGCTGGGACACCGTCACCGTGCCCGACTTGTGCACTGTGATGATTGGTCGGCCGGCGGTCCCGGGGGTGGAGACTACAGGGACCCCGCCCACCTGAGCAGCAGCAGTCTTCAGCATTCTAGTGGCCGGGTTACTCACCTGAGACAGGAAACAGGAAACATGTTTGTACTGATCAGCTGATCACAACAGCTGTTCCAACAGTACGATTATAGTGTTGTATCGCACCGTCTTTACAACAGTTGCTCCAACGGGGACGTTGAGCACCGTCGCTGTGGATGGAGGGATCTTTTGGGTCGCTGCAGCCGCCGCTGCCAGTGCAGCCATACCACTCATCTGAGGACTGCTTCCTGTTGGCTGAGAGCAAACAGGAGGTAGGAAGAGGGTACTTCAACTGTTGAAAGTCAAAGTTAAGTTTGAAACAAGAGTTTGACAAAAAGTTCAGAACAGAAAGTCCAGTAAAGTGGAACATTCAGGAGCTTTCAGCCACATTCTGTGGGCTTCATCAGTGGAAAGAGTTGCTAGTTTAGTTGCCAAATGACTCATGCAGTATGAATTTCTGTCGCATAACAACAAGGCAAGCATGGTATGAGGCAAACCTGTGATGTGTGATGATGTCTAGTACTGTGATGATGACACGACTTGTGATAAACAAATATTTAAGTGTGCAGGTTTTGTGTTTCTGCTGACACAGACTCCAAACACTGAAAAAATCTTTTTCAAACATGCATATTTTTACAGGCTGACATGGATAAAAGATGAAAGACTTGAAAATGTTCACAGAGGGACTTACTGAGTTTGCTGAAAACTTTTTGATTTTATGACAGAATTATTTAAAATCTGCTTTTGTACAACTGACGAGATTTTTAAAAATTATTTTAGCGTCTAATTTTATATACTTTATTAATCCCCCCGAGGGGAAATTCAATTTTTCACTCCGTTGTCATTAACACACAGGCCCGAAATACACACACATGCACAAACAGGACCTATACATGCACAAAGTGGATTGATGTCAAACTAAACTGGCTGAAAAGTTATTTGTCTAGCAGGCAGCAGTTTGTGAAGGTGGGTGATTGTTGCTCCAAATGTTTGGACATAACCTGTGGTGTCCCCCAGGGGTCAATTTTGGGCCCTAAATTGTTTATTCTATATATTAATGATTTATGCAGTGTGTCTGAAACACTTAAACTTTTTTTATTTGCTGATGACACAAACATTTTTTGTTCCTGAGATGATGTTTTTCTGTTACAAAAACATATTACTTCAGAAATGTGCAAATTAAAAATATGGTTTGATAAAAACAAGCTATCATTAAACTTAACCAAAACAAAATGCATGTTATTTGGGAACTTGGGAAAAGGTACCCAAATAAATATTGTGGTAGATGGGATTAAGATTGAGCAAGTTTCTGTATATAAGTTTCTTGGTGTTACAATAGATGAAAAACTCAGCTGGAAATCACACATCAAACATATCCACTCCAAAATATCAAGAAGCATTGCAGTATTAAACAAAGCAAAACAGGTTTTAGATCACAAATCACTCCACATTCTGTACTGTTCACTGGTTTTACCATATCTAAGTTACTGTGCAGAGGTCTGGGGCAGCACTTACAAAACTACACTACAGCCATTAATCATTCTTCAAAAAAGAGCAATACGCTGCATTCACAAAGCTGGATATCAGGATCATACAAACCCATTATTCTTACAGGCACATATATTAAAACTGGAAGACCTGATCAATTATCAAATAGCACAAATAATGTTTAGGGCAAAAAATCATTTACTAGCAGCAAATATTCAAAACACGTTTACACAAAAAGAGGGAATTTATAATTTAAGAGGGCTATTCAATTTTAAAACCCCAAGTTTTCGTACTACCAGGAAACGTTTTTGTATTTCTGTTTGGGGAGTAAATTTATGGAACAGTCTTGATGGGGAGCTCAAGAAATGTCCAAACATGAAGCAATTTAAAAAAAAGATATAAAGAAATGATTTTCAAAGGGTACAGTCACGGCAATCCTTAGCAGTATATTTGTATATTGTTTGCCTTATTTATTTATGGTGCTAGTTATTTTCCTAGATTACCTCACATTTCTTTTGTAAAATTGTATTTTGGTATATGTTGACTGTGAATTTATGTTTTTGAAATATTTTGTAAGACTTTGTTAATTGAAAGGAAAAGTTTATGTTGTTAATTTTTGTAATGGGAAGCTAGTTAATTAACAAAAAATGGATTTATGGATAGGGGGTGGGATTAAATAAGTATGTACTTCCTCCCACTCCTTTTCGGAAATGTAAACCGAATTGCGAAATTGTGTTGAGAATCTTTTGTTTGCTTTTTTTCTTATGACATTTCTGTTTACATGTTCGAAATAAATAAAAAAATCAAATCAAATCAAGAGTGAGGGGGCTGCCTTGGTCAGGCGCCCTGAGCGGTTCTGGGTTTCTACTCAAGGGCACCCTGGCAGTGAACTGGCACCTCTCCAGCCACCAGTCCACGCTCCATATTTGGACCTGCCAGGGACTTGAACCGGCGACCCTCCGGTTCCCAACCCCGGTCCCTATGGACTGAGCTACCGCTAATCATGAAGTCTCCATTGGCACCCGAGTCAGAGCTGTCACTATCCTGCAGTGGTACTCAAACATTTTCTGTCATGACCACTTCAGGAGCCACAAAAATATATGCCCCCCTAACCCACAACTTTTTAATCAATCATTAAAAGCTCCTAATAAATATAAGGCTTCATGTTGAATTTTATTGAAATAAAGTTCAGCACGACAGCATCAGCAGACTCTTGTAGGCTTGGACAGTAAGTCATTTTTCATACCTTCATAACGTCCTGAAATTTCAGCGCGGTACTGGCAACTCTGCTACTTTCTGCAAGCTTGTTCACCTTTTTCAAACTAATAAATACCCAGTAGAAACTCACGCAAAATTAAGAAATGTAATAATCTCACAACTATTTTCCTCATTAAACAGAAAAATACAACTGTACACCTTTTGAATTCTCGTTTCTCTTGGTCACTGAAACTCGTCAAACACATAAAACTCACCCAAACTGTTCTGGTTTCTCCAGTCAGTCAGTCCACTGTTCCAACAATCAAAAACTTTGGTCGAGATGAACCCTTAATTGATCATCAGGCGCAGTCTGCTTTTTCCACCATTTTAGTTCATTATTAGTGACTCTTGTACTTATTGTACTCCTGTTGTTACTCTGTTAGACACTGGTTTTTGCTTTTGCTCCATGAAAACACTTCTTATCTTGTTATTTGTATATTTTGCCAGATATCTAATACTCTATTGTTATTCTACAACTGGGCCCAATAAGTGACCCACTGGTTGTTCTGGTTGTGAATGTTTAATTTTGGTTACTGTCCTTAGTGTTACTGTAATTTAAAGCATTTCTCTGGCACAGGAATTTCCCTCTAGATAAATAAAACCACGGAAAAAACCACCAGAAAAAACCACAATGTGTTCCCATGATGTGCACGTGTTGCTCACACAGCCAGTGTGGCCTGGGCGTTACTCCACCAACACTCTGTGTTGCGGTGTCTTTTAGTTCAGCCGCCTGTTCCATCAGTAGAGATCGGAGACTGACCTCTGGTGGCGTGAGCTGTGCACTACATACATTGAGTTTAACAAAGGGAAGAGCGCCTGTATAGAGTGTAGAGTGTGCCAGTGAACCCAGAACTCCGTTAGCGCTTTTAGCACTTCCGGTTCTCTCGTCTAAAAGTCAATACATTTTTTGAATGGGATTTTGGTAAAATGCCTCAAATAAGGTCTGTGGTTAACAAAAGCTTAAGCCAGTTTCAGGTTTTGTTCTACGACATAAAACACGTCAGTAAATACCCTACTTGTGAATTTTTAAGCTTTTACGTGTCGTAAAAAAGGCGGTTGCTAACAAGTTGCTCAATACGACTACAAACCCTGTCGGGGACATTAAACGTCATCACCCCCGAACAGGCGAGAGTGCTGGCAGTCCACCATTACAGCTTCTTATTTAGCTTCAACAGTCCGATTTCTCCATTATACAATGTTTTTAAAATAAAGTGGCCAAAATCAGTTGAAAGCTTAGTGGCGGTGACGTCAAGAGTCATGCGACCGTGGAGTAGTCACGTAGTCCGTTAAAGCCTAACATTAGGTTTTTACTTCTGCAGATCACATTTAAGCTTCAAATGCGGTATGAAAGGTGTTCATATGTGAAGATTATCTCGCTGAACAAAACCTGTAAGTATCATAAACTTGTGTTAGCCACAGAGCTTATTTTCTGACATAATCCAAAACGCAATGCAAAAATCACATTCACTTTCTCTTCCGGGAACCAGCGCGATGCTAAACTTCCGCGTTTTGACGTCAGCCCTGGCACACTCTATTTATGATAATATTAAAATTTACTGTCAGGATTTCTGAACACCCTGGTATACTGTAATACTGTGAAACCGCCTGAGCCTGGACTCTTGTATATTTTCCCTCCATAAATCAGATTCATTCATCTTGCCAAAGGACCGCAGTAGAAAATTAGCCAGCTGGCTGCACATTTTCAGAAATGTTGATTAATGTGTGCTGTCCCCATTAACAAATAAATGAAATAAAATTTGTTTTACTTCTTATTTTTCTTCTGGTCGTCCACGCCGTGCAGTGGTTCTTTGTCCCCTCAGGGGGGTCCGCCTCACAGTGTGAGAAGCACTGCTATACGCTAACAATCCCACCTCTTTTACAGAGTCCTGTCTGCGGTGGAAACGCTAAAAAGATCTACAGTTTAGTTCAGGTACACTCAGCTTGTTTTGCCCGGGGGCCACTTTTAAAAAATGACAGGTAGCTCAGGGCCAGTCGCAGTCGCCTCGCACTTTTACACAGGGGTGTTTCTAGGATTTGAGGACAACAGGGGCTGAGCCTGGACCTCTGTCGGGGGTCCATTTTGATGCTTTTAATGCACTCTGGCACCTTATGGCTATTATCAGCATCAAAAAAATTTCCAGTGTAAATTCATTCATTTTCATTGTTAATTAGAAAATAGTTGGGGGGCCACCCAGCAGCCTATCGGGGGCAAGATTTGGCCTGCGGCCTGTAAGTTAAGTATCACTGGTTTAGGTACGTGTCCTTGAAGGTCAACCACCAGCTCTGAGGGTACGATACTCAAAGTGTTTGGGTATAATGTGGCTAAAGTGTGATTAACATGTGGTGAGAAGATCCAGAGGAATAAAGATCTCCTTACCGTCCCCTGACCGGCCTGAGCGGGTACGACCATACGAACACCTGCAGGAAGTGTCGTCACGGTGACTGGAGACTTTGGGGCAGCCTGTCTCACTGTGACGATGGAGGGTCCGCCTGCTGCACCTGGAGCTGCTGCCATCCTCAGGACAGCTGCAGAAATACAGGACACAGGTGAAGAACATTCTGATCTACCTGCTGCCACCTGTAGATGTACCTGTACAGGCGAGTAAACCTACCTGGTGATTTGGCAGCGGCAGCCAATGGGCTTCCAGGTACGGAGGCAGTGGGGGAGGGAACCAGCGTGATGCCAGACAGCGGGACAGTTTGGTTAGCTGGTGGCATGGTGATGGGGGCAGGGGTCTTGGGGGAGCTGGCCACAGGTGTGGCAGTGGGGATGGGGTTGGGGGCGGGGCTAGAGGCAGGTGAGCCGATGTCGTACTTCTGCACCTGCAGCAGGTAAGTCTCAGCTGTCTGTGATGGACCCCAGCTCACCTCAAGAGACGTGGTGTTGGCTCGGACCAGCTGCACCCGGGAGGGAGCGCAGGGACGCTCTGTGGACAGACAGGTGAGACAGGTAAGTTTAAACTGAACATCTGTTCCTCACCTGTCTCCAGGTGCTACAGGTATTTATTCCTCACCTGTCGCCAAGTATCTAACACAGCTCCTCACCTGACCCCAGCTATTTAACATCAGTCCTCACCTGTCTCCAGGTACCAGAGGTCCTTGCAGCACACCTGGTTGTTCCAGGCCTTCCTGTATCCATCTCTGCCGCTCCAGATGTAGAGTCTTGAGTTGATGGCCACGCTGCAGTGACCTGCTCGAGCTCTGGGGACGTTCTCCTCCAGACTGTCCATCAGGACGGTCTCCCAACACATCGAGTCTTCAGAGTGGACAGACAGATGAACAGGTGGTTTCGCTGCAGTGTCAATTTCGTGATGATGTCACTACTCTTTGAACAGAGAGTGCGTGTGTGTGAACATGTATTACCCATGTTGTGGGGAAATACATCTGTTTACACACGGTGGGGACCCGTGTGTGTGTGTGTGTGTGTGTGTGTGTGTGCGTACCCAGGTTGAGACAGGCCAGTGTGTTGGTACACTTCCACTCCTTCTCATGAGTCGCCACTTTGACATCATCCATCACCAGAGGAATCCAACCTCCAAACACATACATCCTGACAGAGAGACAGACAGGTGCAGACAGACAGACAGGTTAGATTAAAGTATAAATGTCAGATTAACAGATGCATTAACAACATGTATGTGTAGTATTACTTGTTGTTGATGGTGGTGGCAGAGTGCAGGCTGCGGGGGAGGGGGGCGGTTCCATTTAGGGCCGGTTTACTCCATGTCAGAGAATCTGTGACATCATAAGAACAGGGACCATTCAGAAGTCAGTGTGAAGTCACCTGTGCAGAGTCTGTCTCACCTGTGTGGAGGCTAACTCACCTGTGTGGAGCACCCACAGGTCTCCCAGTCTGCAGCCGCTCATCCCTCCGTAGATGATGAGTCTGTTGCCGTTGCGACCATTTGCCACCACAGCCGTGTGACTCTCTCTAGGTGGTGGCGGTGGACCTGAAGTTGTCGGGATCTCCCAGCCGACCACGCTGGAGATCGGTCGCAGCTCCAGACGGTACAGGTCGTTCAGATACCTGAGAGGGACAGGTGTACAGAAGGTTCCTGACTATAACCTGGCTCTGGGTCAGACAGTGGTGCAGGTACCTGAGGACCGTCTGATGTTTCTTACCTGGGGATGTTGTTCTTGGGGTCTTCACTGTCATTGGCCAGTCCTCCAAACAAGTAGCAGCAACTGCCAATCAGAGAGAAGCTGTGTCCGAGGCGGGGGCAGGGGGGCGGGCCATTCTTTGGAGCCTTGGCCTTTAGATGTTTCCACTCCCAACGACTCGCCTGAGGGAGAAAACAGACAGCGTGTCAAATACAACCTCTCCATCAGCAGACTGCCCAGGTGTACCGCTGGCCTCCAGGTGTACCAACAGTCCCTAGGTGTGCCAGCAGCCCCCAGGTAGACTGTGCCCTCTGCAGTGACATCACTGACCTGCAGCTCGTACAGGTCACTGCTGTATTTTCCGTATTCGACCATCCCTCCAAACACCAGCAGCCTTGTCCCGTCACATGCGAAGCCGTAGGCGGCACATCCAGGGGGGACGTCGCCTCGCACTGCAGGGATGAACCACTGGTTGGTGGCTACAGGGGAGTCAGACAGATTACAGGAAGAGTTCATTACACTACACACTGAAACATCTCCAGAATGAGCTGCTGGTTAGTCGCTGCAGGATTTGTGTGTGATCATTCTACTTCCTCAATCCTGTGACCCTGAAACAGATCTGGGGTCATCATGGAGGACTGTCTAATCATTTAAATGTGTCTCAGTGGAGACGAGGGTCAGCTGATCTGATGGGATGATAAATTACTGTAATATTAATGGTGCATTATTGTAAAAACATAAAAAAAAATACTTGTAGAAATAATAACACCAACATCAGTCAGTTATGTAGTCACAAGATAAATGCGTAGAGTCGGCTTCATCAATGACTCATGGACACACTCACTAACTTCATTTTTTTCCTTTTCAGCCAAAATATTTCTCTCATCTTAGTTTTCATGTCAAGTGAATCTTGAGGAACAAAATACAGCTGCAGAAACACACACACACTTGTTATTTATCTAATTATATATAATACTAAAACACTCAACATTATTTCATGTTTTTTTGTTTGGTCAAAAGTTAAAACATAAATTCTTATCATTATTATTCATCCAAAGTTAAAATATTAAATATTTGTTAATGTTTATTTCTTTGATCCAAAGAAAAAATATTTAACATTATTTTAAGTTTGTTTTTCTTTTAAATCCAAAATTAAAACACAAAACGTATTATTTCATGGGTTTTCTGTGTACCACATTAAGACATTAAAATTATTTCTTGTTTTTGTTTTTCACTGATTCAAAGTTAAAATGTATATTTTTAAATAATTTCTTATTTTTTGTCTCCATCTTTTCTTCTACTGCAGCCGGGGGGGGCGGGTCTCTGTGACGTCGGCAATGTTTTCAGTAAAAACGCGCCATTTCTGCCGGATCCTCTCCGTTAGCTAAATGGCTAATACTGTTAGCATGCGGGTAGCTAACCTAGCTTAGCAGGCTAAACTCCCTGTAAACTTCAACAGCATACCAGCATCACATTGTTTTACACCAACTGAATACAACCAATAAGCTAGTTAGCTAGCGGTTAGCCTCCAGTTAGCATAAACAGCAGCTAATCATAGCACGGCTAGCATCATAGCTTAGCTGCATATCCTCCAGACATACTTTACACAACTTAAAAGAGTTAACCGGGTACCGGTGTTATAAACGTGCAGCTCATCCACGATCCCCTCGTTTCCTCCGCCGAAAACCACCATTAGCTCCTTGATAGCCACGGCTCGGTGCCCGTGCCGGGGCCGCGGGACCGGGCCGGTCCAGCCCAGGACGCGCTTCCAGCGGGGCTGCACCACCGCAGGTTCGGAAGCCATGACGATGCTGTCAGGGTGCTCCTCTCCCGGTCCTCAGTGATGGGGTGAAAAAAAAAATCCAAATTAAGTCGAAAAAATACAAGTCTCCGGTTTGCTAACAGCTGCTCAGGATTAGCATCGGCCTGCTAACTAGCTCCTGAGGCTAATTAGCCAACTGAAGCTAGCTAGCTAGCTTTTTTTCAGACGGGATCACAGATTCCGTCTGTTTTATTTAACAGAGTGAATTAACCTCCTCCTCTGGTGATCCAGTCTGTGGCTCTAACAGAGACCAGTCTGTGGCTCTAACAGGGACTAGTCTGGGGGTCTAAAAGGGACCTGTGTGTTTAGCTAGCCCAGAGACTGCAGCATCCTGCCCGGTGAACGCTGAGCAGTGTCGGTAGCGAGCCGCCGGTAGCTGCTCTGGCTAACAGAAACCAGCAGAATCACACATCCAGCTGCGGGAGAAAGCGCCACACGGCCGCTCCATGCATCAGTGTGAGGGGGCACCGTGGGGACCGAGAGCCGCTGTTAAAGATGCAAAGCAGAGCGTCTGTGCGCCGGGATGGGAGCCGCCATCTCGCTGCTAACAGCAATCAAACAAAACACACAGAGAGAGAAGCTAAGTGGCTAACTGCTAACAGTCAGCTGGTCCACCGCAGGGTGTCAGTCACCTCACAGTGTTTACACATCAGACACATACATCTGCAGACCACAGCCATGATGTTAGGGACTGTACATGATAATAACACACACAAGTCACCCCTTATAAGTGACTGTTCGTTATTTATGGGGGGGGGTGCAAAGGGGAGGAAGCATGTCAGAAATTTATAAGCACTGAGAAGGGACTGTTTTGGGGTTTTTTCCATGGGAGAAGGGCTAGCAAATTTAATGGTTGTATTTTGTATTTATCTCAGATTTTTAAAGAAAACATGCAGGTTTGGAGGGCATGCTTTCTTTAAAAATCCCCCAAATTACACTGAAACACTGACGAAATGCAGAAGAATGCCTCCGTCAAACAAAACAAAACATAACAAACAAATCTGATCTTAAAAAAGTGATATTTCATCAAAATGACTTTTTTCATCGTCTCATTAAACATTTGTCCAAAAATAAATTGTTTGCATGACGAGAGTGTAAAGCTGAGGCTTTCTCCAACTTCAGGATTTCATACTTAACTTTTAACTTCCAAACATCAAAGGGTAAATTTTAAAAATATAAGGGACTGTTCTTTACTTATGAGAGGAGGGGGATGGCTGGGGTGTGACTTTGTTGTTTTTACCCTCCCTGAAGTTCCAGATATTTCCCCTTGAACCTCCCTGAGTGACTGGAGGAAAACCCATGACCCTCCCTCCACCATAAATGAGTTATTAGATTTTTAAAACTTACCCTTTGATGTTTGAAAGTTAAAAGTTGAAGATGAAATCCTGGAGTTGAAAAAAAATTCTCATTTTTTTACTCATTGGACAAACTGTTAATTTTTGGACAAGTTCTACATGAGACGTAGAATAAAGTGATTTTGATTAAGTATCACTGTTTTAAGATCTGATTTCTTTTGGGGGGGTTTATTGTGATGGAAGTGTTCATTGTACGTGATGTGTCCAAGGTCCGTCGGAAATTTGAAAATCTAACAATTTATTTTTTTTTTTTTTTTTGGTGTGATTTTTAAAGAAAACATTGCTTCCAAACCCGCTGGCCCGCAGAAACAGTGTTTCCTTTAAAAATCTGCAGTAAAATAAAATATAAAACACAACCACTACATTTTTATGCCCCTACCCAAGACCAAAATAAAAAAACATAAGTCCCTCCCACCTCATAAATAAAAAACAGTCCCTATTAACTAATTCATGGTGGAAGGAGGGACATGCATTTTCTGCCTGTTGCTCCAGGAGGCTCAAGGAAAAATATTTGTAGCTTTGGGGAGTGTCAAAGTTAAATAAAAAACAACAGCTCAATCAGTTATCTAAAGAAGTTATCAGTAATAATGTTAAAAGTAAATCAATGGTTCTCACAGTAACTCATCAATAAGTTGATCATGTAATAAATGGATTTTGGTCCAGATGATGTGCAGCTGTTAACTTCAGAAGGTCAGAGGTCAAACAGTTCAACGAAATGTCTGCTGGTCGACTGACTGAATTAAACAGCAGCCACAACCCAGAAACCCAAAAGTTTACCTCTAAGTGATGTACAGAGAGAAATAAATGATTTATTAACCCTTTATAAAGTTGTGATTTTTATTGTAATCTATTGAAGCAGGTAAATTTGTCTTAGGTGTTTTGTCACAAAAAAAAGAATAAATATAAAAATGCAAAACTACAATACAATTAAAATACATCACAGAAATACTGTAGATTTTGTACTCAAGTATTTTATGACAAAGACGTACAAATAAATGTTTTTGTAAACAAACGTGACCAAAAAGTCCCAGCTGACGTGTCTTTAGTCCACCACATGATGTCACAGATACCATGACATCACTGCAGGTGTGATGATGATGTCATACCTTCATGTGAACCTCTGCTGCATATGATTGGTGAGATTACTGATTTGTATAAACGGAGTAAATGAACAGAGATGTGTTGACGACAGCTTCAGTCTGTGGGACGTCCAGAACAGATTCAGCAGTTCGTGATACGAACATGACGATGACAGCGAGTGAATCTGACTCTGAATCAGTCTGTGTCAGTGGTGCTGAAGATAATCCAGCTCGTCACTCTCCTCTGGTCCTCTGACAGAACTCCGCCCACCATCTGACATGAGATATGAAATGAGATATGAGACGACATGTAGTGAAACGTGATGAGAGAAGAAGAGATATAAGACAGAATGAGATCATGGATGAGTGAGATAAACTGAGATGTGTTATGGTGGTAGAAAATATAGCAATGACAGAAAACTGTACAACATATGAAATAGAACGAGAGATTTAAAACGACAGGAGGCACGGTGGTGTGGTGTTTAGCACTCTCGCCTCACAGCAAGAGGGTTGCCGGTTCGATCCCGGGTGTGGGAGCCCTTCTGTGCGGAGTTTGTATGTTCTCCCCGTGTCAGCGTGTCAGCGCTAATTGATAACTCTAAATTGTCCGTAGGTGTTAATGGTTGTATGGTTCTTTGTCTCTATGTGTCAGCCCTGCGATAGTCTGGCGACCTGTCCAGGGTGAACCCTGCCTCTCGCCCGATGTCAGCTGGGATAGGCTCCAGCACCCCCGCAACCCTCAAGAGGATGAAGCGGTTAGAAGATGAAGATTTAAAACGACACAGGAGGAAGAGATCGGCCTCAATAGGAGAAAATATAATTATGAGAATTATGAGATCTTAACTTCCTAATAAGCTGCAGTATGTGACAACATGAGAGGACACAGAATGAGCCTGAAGATAAGATAAAAATAAAACATTAATGTTTTTGTTAGCCGCAATAGTTATAAAGTGAGACAAGAGTAATGACATCATTTGGATCAAATACAATCAAATGTGACATAAAAATCAAGATGATCTCAGTTAAAATGAAACGACACTCTTCAAATAAGATGAGACATAAAATGACACAACAAAACGTGAGAGGGACAAACATAAAGGTTAAAAAATAAAACATGACTTCATCAGATAAAAGTAGATTTGATGTGAGACCATGCGGCTGTTTGCCTCCGCACACCAGTCGAATTTCTCTTCTGTTGTGTTCATACGAAACGCAATGTGAATTTTCACGATGAAGCGATGAGTGAACTTCAACCAGTACGTATTCGGTGTCGTACATCCCTGGAGGATCTCAATGCTGATTGGCTATCACGCACGAATCAGTTGCTCAGGTTCAGATTTTTCAACTCTCTCAAATAAGCATATGATGCGAAATTGCACTTTATGCATTTTACTTGCACCTGGTGTGAACACAACGTTCCAGTCTCCATCCATGTCAGTGAAAACATGGATGCTTCACACACAGAAGATCTATACAATCAGCACAGTTTCAAGATTAGAGTCACCAATTCAGTATCTGACCAAATGTCTCCCCTTCTGTTCCTGAGCTATGACGTTAAAACGTGATGATGTCACAGTCAAGCTGACCTTTGACCTTTTGGATATAAAATGTCATCACTTCATTATTTTGTCATAATTAGTGAATGAATTCTTAAGTCGGGGCCAAAAACATGTTTTGTGAGGTCACGCTGACCTTTGACCTTTGATTACAAAATTCTAATCAGTTCATTACTGATTCAAAGAGGACGTTAGTGCCAAATTTAAAGAAATTCCCATGAGGTGTTTTTAAGATACCACGTTCACAAGAATATCAGACGAGGTCATAGTGACCATGACCTTTCACCTTTGACCACCAAATTCTAATCAGTTGCTCCTTAACTTAAAGTTGATGTTTGTGCCAAATGCAGTCTTCATTTTGTTGACCAAAACTATGATTTTCATTTTCATCAACAGCCTTTCTTCCATAAATCGATGAATAAATCCGTCTGATGAGCTAAAAATAGATCTTGATATTAAAAAGTAAAATGAGATCTTTGTTTTATTTTCCTTGACGAGACGTGATGAAAGTGTTAGTGGTGGACTGTCGGACATTCAATGCCGAGAACGGCTGTGCTTGTAATTATCTTCAAATGAGTGACAGGCTGGTAAACTCCAGTAAATAGTCTGCATCAGGATGTTTGAGTAGCCAGCAGAAACAGTCTGAGCGGAGCAGCGAGTTGTGAGCTGTAATTCAGCGGTAAATAATCACGAGAAAATTTAAGTGTAAGATTAAAACTGATGAGATAATTAGATTAAATGAGATGAGATACAAAGAGACGTGAGATGTGACGACATAAAATCAGATGACGACACGACACACGTTTGATATCTGATGACATGAAACAGAATGAGATGACGACAGGAAGCATGATGAAATCAAAGATTTGAGATGTTTAACGTACAAAGGTCATCAGACGACAGCAGCTCTGGGGTTTGAATCTTTCCCTCCTCGTACAAAGTTTTCTTCTGCAGGAAACGCTGCTTACTGGGATTCATGTGGACTGAACACACACATGAGAACAATCAGTTTACACACTCCATCACTTCAATCACACATCTCCATGGTAACAAGGATTTTTTTGTCTGTTAAATAAACTGTTCAGAGTAGTGAGATTACTTTGTTTCCAAAACAAAAACAGTGTTTTGTGAAATAAAGACCGTAGTTCAGATCCAAACAAATAAACTGCAGTCTGCTCCTTGAACAAGCTGCTGACGTACCTGAGGGCCCCGGAGACACCGACTGCAGGGACCCCGCAGAAGAGAGGCATTGTGGGACACCATGGTGCTCTGCTGTGGTTTTCCCAGGCCCTGACCTGTCACTGGGGCTGCTGGGCTGGGGAGGGAAGTTGTACTGGTCCTCAGTTGGGACAGAAGGCTGGCTCAGCTGCGACTCTGTGGGCCCAGTTGGCCTGTGATACTGGTCTCTGGTGGATGGAGACAGAGACCTGGAACTGGTCCCATTAGATCTGTGCTGGGAGCTAACGTTGTACTGGGAGAGGCCTCGACTCTCATCCGTTTCACATGGACCAGCAAACGAGGTGGAGGAGGAAGAGAGGGATGCAGAGGAGTGCAGTGGGTGAGGAGGGGTGAGGGAGCAGAAAGAAGAGGAGGAGGAGGAGGAGGAGAGCTGAGAGGACTGGGAGGGCTGGTACATGTCCTCCA